AATACTAACTTTAACTGAGAAACACCATGCTGTACGGCAGCAGCAAAAGAACTGCATACCTAGCACACCTGTGAGAACAGATTTCTTACCTAGTTTTACTTCTGTGCTATGTCAAGATAGTCTATGGCCACCAAAAAGAACATTTTCTGCATCCTCTAGCCATTTTTCCCCTTCCCACACAATGAATTGTTAAAGTGGCCAAACAGGATATTTAGGACATCATCAAGAAGCCAAGCAATAGGAATGAATTCTTACACACCAACATGAAGCAAAGAATTTAGGTTATCCAAAACTAAACGCTGCACCATCATATTATTTTTGTCAAACCAAATTAAATTCATGATACAATCTGGCATTCTCATTCATTCAATAAAAATTGCCACATATATCTTCAAGCCTTAGTTTAAAAATAGAAGCCAATAACTTCCAGGCTGTATTCATCTTAATAACAAAAGGAAGACTTTCTATTTCAAAACCCACATCCAGGACTTGCCCGTAAAATTTATTACCATCCTACTCTATAGTTACAGTTAGTAAAAGTTAAACAAAACAAAATGAGCTGCAGAAGGAGTGGCCCTGTCCTTTGTTATGAAATTACACCCTAACCACTCATCTCAATACAATTCAAAACAAAAAATGCAGTCACACTCCTTTCCCAACTAAGGCACTCTTGTTTAAGAGGTTTGTGCTGAGCTACACTTTTTATTCAATAGAAATGTTATTTCATCAAATGTAATTATTATAAATGAGATTAAAGTCTCAGGTTCTACACTCACTGCTTAATCAAAGAGGCACGAATCTTGACATCTGTAAGATAATGAATGTGCTGAGGCTTATATGACAACAACTACTTTTAGTGCACAACTCTGCAAATGGATCTTTTGAGCATATGAGAAACTCGAGCCATTTCCATTTCAGAAATCAGATGTATTAGAGATGTGTGATGCTTTCTGTGTACGTTACACCAGAAGTTCAAAAGTAAATGAACATACCTAGTCTAGTAATACACACGTGCTACTTTACATCAAAACCTACTTTAGATTCCATTAGATTTCACAAAAAGTCCAGTATCTGCTCTATTATCACATTATAAAGGTGAACATTAGACTGTCTCTGCTACTCATGTTCAAACACACCACATCTTCTACTTAAGTTTCCAAAATCAATCTATGAAATTATTCTTTAAAGAAGTTGTTAGCATTATAGCTAGATAACTAAAATCAACTTCATATCTTTCTGCCAGATCTTTCTGAATGCTGCTCTCTTTAAGAAAGCACAGCGTTAAATACCCAAAGCCTACATATGTGAAGTGGACAAGTAACGATATCTACCGACAGCTGCAGCCCTGTGGTACAGGCAGCTTAATGAAATCTTAGGAAAATTTGATAGAAACAGGAAGGTTAAGTTCCAATTAACTATTTTTAGCAAGAAGGCAAGAGGTTATCAAGAAAGGAAACAAGAGCTGCAATCCTATCAACTTGACATTTTGAATAAACCCCTAAAACCAACATTGAGCAGCTGTCTTAAATTTATCCACTCTGGAATAGGGCGTGTATTCAGGATACCCACCTACTACGGCTTCAGACCACTGGTAGTCAAAAACGAATAAACAAATGAAACATTTCACATAACATACATATATTGAGACATCTATTTTTACAAAAAAGCAGATGAAAACAGTTTTCATAAGCTCTGCAAGCAAAAAGTAATTAAAGTCACTGTAATACTGCGCAAAGGGATTAAAAAAAATACATTAGCAGTTCGTACACAATGCATGCAAGTCCATCTATTATTATCAAAGTCAAGAGCTAGCCATTATTTTTAAATAATATGATATTATTCCTTTCCAGTAGTCTGGATGACTGAATGAGAAGTAAGGCCATAGAACCATAGAAAATCCCAAGTTGGAAAGGAAGCTCTAAGATTGAGCCCAGCTCCAGGACCGCCCAAAATTCAACCCCTATGTCTGAGAGCAGTGTCCAAAGGCTCCTTGAACTCCAGCAGCTCCGCGCCGTGCCCACAGCCCTGGGCAGCCCGTTCCGCGCCCACCGCCCCCTGGTGCAGCGCCTTTCCCGAGCCCCTTTTCCCGCCCCTCCCTGACGCAGCTCCATGCCGTTCCCTCGGGCCCTGTCGCTGTCACACAGAGCAGAGCTCAGCGCTGCCCCTCCGCTCCCTGTGAGGAGCTGCAGCCGCCATCACGCCTCCCCTCGGCTCCTCTGCTCTGGGCTGAGCAAACACAGGGTCCTCAGCCGCTCCTCGCACCTTGCCCTCAGAGCCTTCCCCACCTTCATATCCCTCCTTTGGACGCTGTCTAATAGCTTCATGCCCCTCTGATGCTGTGGCACCCACACTGCACCCAGTGCAGGAGGTGAGGCTGCACAGAGCAGAGCAGGACAAGGCTCCCCTCGCCCACTGGCAGTGCTGGGCTGCTGCCCCACAGGGTATCATCGGCCTTCTGGGCTGCCATGGCACACTTCTGGCTCATGCTCAACTTGCCATAAGCCAGAACCCACAGACTGCTTTCCACAGGGCTGCTCTCCTGCCTCTCATCCCGCAGTCAGTACACAGAGCCAGGGGTGCTCCATCCCACATGCAGAACCCAGTGCTCGCTCTTGTTAAGCTTCAGGCGGTTGTGATTCCTCAGATCCACAATTTGTAATATCTGCTACTATGCATAGTTCTAGATATGGACTTGATTCAAAACAAATTTATTTTCATAACACAATTAATTTACCTTCTACTCTCACTTTTTCAAAAGCAGTCTGGGTTCACCTCCACCAGCTCTCATCACTGACTTAGGGGTCAATACTGAGCAATCCCAGGACTGATTACACAGCCCTCCAAGGCAATCAAGGTCATAACAGACAAAAGGCCACTCAGCATCAAAGAGCACTGCAATTTTTTTTTTCCTTCTTGTGTCATTATCCTAATACCATTCAAACAAAAGCCTGCAAGTAAGTTACAATGTGATGTAGCTCCCCTTGCCAATTCTAGAGGAGGAATCCCACAGCTCCTTTGAAGCACATTGTTACCAGCAACAATGGAAGCTGCTCTATAAAGTCTCAACCCAACAGAGAAGGGTATGCCTAAGAACTACAGTTCAAAAACAAAAAACAAAAACAAAAACAAAGCAAAAAAAAAAAAACTACTTTTGGTTTGAAACTGAGTAATTCATAATTATGTAATTTGCTACTAGGAACTTGGTACAGAATTTCCACCCCCAAAACAATATTTTCATTTGCAGCTCCAATGCATTTGATGCGTATCAGATAACTGCAGCTCAAGCACACCAGTACGTGCAGCAGTTGGATTTAAAGCAAGGCTAAGAACTGAACAAACCTGACACTTCTGTCAACATTTGTTTTCTCACTTTACCTTGGGATCCTAAACTATTGCACTGTATATAAGACTAGAATTCTTGCAAGACATTTCCCAAGAAGCACAAAACAGAGTCAGTCTCAATAGTAGAAGAGCAGTTTGAAGAAGAAAAACATAGCAGAAAAGAAGCAACGGCTCCACTGTCTACCACAGCAAAACCACCGTTTCCCGAGGCAACTGAGCAGACTGGGACACCGCATCTGGAACTGCCGACTCAGGATGGCAGCCGGCCAGCAGCCGGCTGTGCTCCCTGACGAAGCAGCAGCCAGTTTCTTCTAACTAAAAAAGCACCAGTTCTGTGCTTACTAACGTGGCTGCGAAAGCAAATTTTTGACAAACTCATTCAGCAAGACATCCCAAGTCAGCCCTGGTTTAAAAAAAAAAAAAGAAGAAAAAAAAAAGAATGTACTAAATGTGATCATCTAACTAGAACAAAAATGAATAAACTTGTGGTTAAGACTCATCCAAAAGCTGCAAACGCAATTCCAAACCTACAGTTCCTATAAAATAGAGGAAATATTTGTGTTTTCAAAGCAGCAAAACAAATGTAAATAATGTTACAAACAATCCAAAAGGTGTTAGGAAACAACAGAACCAATTCCATCACAACGTGCCTCCTGTGCACAAAGTTAACTTTCATTGCAGCAATTCCAGCTTCACACAACTGAAAGCAAAATGATGTTTTTTGCACACCCCTGGACAAAAAAAGCACCAGCAGAACAGGATGTAGGTGAAAGACAACCATTAGAGACCGATGATCACTGTAATGGAATTCCATCCTACAGGGGTTTTACTCATCTCAAAGGGAGATAAAAAGCCTGCTCAGCATTTCTAAGAAAACAAACACTGGGATCACAGGTAACTTATTATTTCCTTCACAGAAATAAAATGGAAAGTCACTCCCCTCTGCATCACGTACTGCACCCCATGGCCACATCTTTACCCCATCACACACACATGCCCACCCATCAGCTCCCCAGCCAGCTCCCCAGTTCTGAGAGGTGTACAAACACCAGGACCTCCATGAAACAAAAGCAAAGTCAAGAGACGAGGTTGCACATACTGGGTCACTAATAGGGCCTCACTGAACAAAGTACAGTTGAAGCTAGAGAAAGAAGCATGTGATCCTATGGGGAGCAGATACAAATCAGAGAAAAGTGCAGCAGCATCCCGGGCAGTGGAGCAGTCCAGAGATGTGGGAGTGTTCCTGAACACATGGTAAAAGTCGTATCAGAGAACAAGAAAATGTGGAGGATGACAGGAATGTAAAGGGTTACATGGAGTCAGGAGAAGAAACACAAACTTGTGCCAGTTTCTGCGGGACCAACGGGGTCTGAAGATGCCAATGAGCCATTTCCAGGGCAGGACGTGCCCGCAGGCAGCAATGGTACCGCGGCACCGGGCCGCCCGCAGCCAGACAGCAGGGCCAACCGAGAGACGGACAGCGGAGCCCCAGGCGTACCGTGCGGGGCAGCGCCGTGCGGATGCCGAGCCCTGCACCAGGCGCGATCTCGAGCGGCGCGGGCGGGACGTTACGGGGCGGGAAGCGGAGCGGGAGGGGCACGGGGAGCAGCTGGGGGAGGGAGGCTCCGTCCCGGGCGGCCCAGGCGCTCCGTACTCACTTTTTGTGGGGCGGCGGGTGTTTGTCCCTCCTGCCGGCCGCCGCGGGCTGCTTCGGCCGCCGCCTGCGAGCCTGCAGGGCCAATACTGCCGAGAGGAGAACAACCGAAGTTAGTGTTAGGATGGCCGCGCAGCCCCCGGCTGCCACCCCCCGCTTCCCGTCGCGGTACCTTTGCGTGAGTTCATCGAGCCGCACGCTCCCGCCGAGCCCGTGCGAGCACCGCTTCCGACTCGCCTAGCCCAGCCTAGCCCAGCCCAGTCGTGCCCGACCCTGCCCTGCCCCGCCTTCTCGCTTGCCGCCCCGCGTCCGCGCTCCGGGCACCGGCCGGCAGCAGCGACACCCCCGCTGCACGCCGCCTCACAGTGCGCAGGCGCAGCACTGTTGGCGGAGCCGCGGCCGGAAAGGCGGGAGCGGGGCGGGGCGGCGGCAGGTGGCGAAGCGCACCTGAGAGGCGGCGGAGGGGTAGGTGGCACGTTGCCCCGGCTGTCCTAGTAGATGGACCGGCCCTGCGCCGGGAACTGTTGGGCTTCTCTTGTTTGTATGTACTTCAGTGCGCTGTTCTGAGGGGTGGCGGCCCTGCGCGCCCTCCCAGTCCCGTTTCGTACCACCCCGAAGCACGCAGGGCCGGTAGGAACTGCTCCGTGTCGCAACAGGCCTGGGGCAGTTCTGACCCCTTCCAGGAGCCGCCGGGGTGCCGTGCGGCCGCTCTGTCAGCTCGGTGAGCGGATGCTGGGCGTTCCTCCCGCCCCCCGCGGCGCCCCCGGCAGCGCCCGCTGTGGCAGCGCAGCGAGGCGCCGTGCCCGGTGTCCGCCCGCCCCCAGCAGCCGCTCGAAGCTAGGTCGGCTTTGGCTTATGGTGAGGCTGGGGTCAGGTGCCAGAAGCAATTAACCTCATGGCAAATCCAAGGGAAGTTAGGTGTCCTTCGTTCTGATTCTTACTAAGTTATTTGTCACGAGCGACAGCCCTGCAGTTGTATTCCTTCCTGCAGACCGCAACAGCAATGCAGTATCGTGGTGCCGACGATGCCAGGTTCCTCTCAGATCTGACCTGATGAAAACTGGCACTTATTTCTGCGGTGCTCAATTTTTGACACTTGTTGTAACTTTGAAATTTGGCATAGTCATAATTTGTAATGATGCTTTATGCAGAGTATGATCTGGGTCACACCGAAAGCTCCAGTCTGAGCGTGAGGCTAGTGCATCTTCTTGCTTGCCTTCACTTGGGACTGGAATTCAAAGCCATAATAACGAAAGCTAACAGTGAGCAGTCACTAAATTTCAAGAGAGGTGCCTCCCTAAATGGCAAAACAAGGAATCCACAAGGATGAAGATCTAAAAAGAACTGTAGTCAAGGTCTTGTGAGAGTGAAGGGAAGCAGTAATCAGGCATCGTAATTGGATCATAGAGATTTCAACTAGACAGAAAATCGAATGGTTAGTTCAGTGCAGGAATGGGACAGGAAGAGAAATACAAAGCTAGACAACTCAGAGAGGGCAGACCACAATATATAATGCTTTTTTTGTCTGGCTAGAGAGCCCAGTGAACAGAAAACAATAGGACCATGAAGTCCTAATCTTCAGCTCTCCACTGCCAACATGAGGCACCACAGCTGCATTTCTAAATTAAAAAATATATATATATATCTGTTTTCCATCCTCCATCATAAAGAAAGACAAAAAATATATTCCAACTTAATATACTACTCAGGTACCATGCAGTGTTGGTACATTACGCATCTCCTTGTCCGTGGTCTGTCTTTTAGTGATTGGTCAGTGTGATGATAAAGCAACTGAAGAGTATACTGAAATTTTGAAGTCCTCCTACTCAAAAAGTATAGATGCATGAAAATTAATAGTAGTTAAATGTTAGAAAGAAGGTTATAAATCTACCCTTTGTTTCTAGGCTAATTTTAACTTCATTGGTTCGGCACTGGTTTGCGTGAATACTTGTGCCTGTACAGACAATGGTAGAAACAAGTAGCTGATAATGAAGAAAATGGTGAGACTGTTTTATTATTTTCAGCAATAATGGCTTAAAGTCATTTATTAGATTTAGCTGTAAAGCAGAAATCATATTAGGGTCTCAATCTTTTTCTCATCTACTCATGTACAATTCTGTTTACTTCAGTAGGAGATTTGTACATAGAACTGATTGGAAAATTGGGTCTTAGATAACTACAGTGTGCTTTGCTTACATCAGCAGGGTTAAAAATTCACCAAATCTGGAGTCGGGAAGGAATTTCCCTCATGAGCATAATGTCAGCAACATAATCAGGGCTTGGGAACAATCTGTTAGCACACAGAGAAGGGATTATGGTAGGACCAGGTGGGTGTATTCCACACAGTCAATCTCTTTCTATTCAATAGGCACATATTTAATGATTGTATTCTTACTGATTTTTGTTGTGATTTTTTTTTTCCTGAAAAGCCACTCAGATAATGCTCAGGCAGGAGTGCAGAAATCCACTGAGACTCTGTATGTATATATTGAGAGGATTACCATTTGCAATTAACTAAATTGGAGAGTAAACTCAGTGGAAGCTAGATGTATTTCAGAAAAAAAAAGATATAAGAAAGAGAAACGGTATTCCTCAGACTCTTGAGAATGTACCTCCCTGACAACCCAGCTGTAAGCAGAAAGTTGCAAAAAAGAATTCAAGACGTTGTTACAAGTGGATCTGCACTGAATTACGTTTACTTGAATCCATTAATTCTGTGATTTTCTCCATCCTTATCTCAGTATGTCTTGTTGTATGTAACTTACGTTTTTCAAAAATAAATGATGAATCAAGAGAGAATACAGACTAAAAAGTAAAATAATGCATATATAAAATCAATAAACAACATAAAGAACAGTGATCTAGGGCAGAATGCCATTGTTTCTGGCTGTCTCTCTTTGAACACAATATTGGAACAGATGTTTGTTCTATTACCAGGATTACCGTGGGCCTCATGCACAGTGGGGAAGGGCAAGATGAGATTTAGGTGATGCTACCTACCCAGAAAAGAAGAACAACAGATTTACGTGTTCTTAGGTGCAAGCATGGGGGAGGGGGAGGGAAGGAGGAGAAGAAAAAATATTAAATTATGGAATGGTGCTTTTACCTCTTTTTAATGTCATTTACATCTGACACCTCACAGGTGTTTGGTTTGTTTCCCTTTCATTCAGCTTTGAAATATCCCTCTTACACAAAAACACATTTACTTCTCAGATATGAATGGAACACATTTGTGCAGAATAGTAGTGGTCCTGAAAACATGATAGTCTGCTTTCTGAGAATAATTCAAAACTCTTCCTTCAGCAGAAGGATGTTGAAAGCTTTTGCCCTGATTACTGAACCAGTTCTTTTCAGATTACTTTTCCCAGTGCGTGCTAGCATGCTGTCTGAATTGCACTTCCTCAGAAATCAGGATATTAACTAATTGTATGCTGCTTTTACACAGAATGGATAAGATAAGAAATAACATGTAAGGCAAAGAGAGAAAAAAAAACATGCATGGTGGGAAAAGAGCTCTGTAGAGATAGGAAATTCCCAGTTAAATGAGAGTTCTTATTAACATGCAAGTCCAGCCTTCTCATCCTCTCGCCTTTCACGTTTGTCTCTTGTTCCTACAGTTCCCACCCCCATTCCACATTTCTGTAAGTGTGATGCACTTGTGTGTGCATACTAACAATGAATCTGTCCTTTTGTTCACTTCAAGAATTTTCTGCTGCCAATTTGCTCTTTTTCTTTTTTTCCAACCTCTAGGATGCAGATAAAGCAACACAGAAAACAAATTTACAGATAGGAAGTATTCACCAACAGTGACTAGTAAGCTGTGTTTGATTTTTAAGATGAGAGGGCTGTTGGTTCATCACAGCTTGAAAATGACTTCAATTAACAATAGGAGCAATGAACACATTAAACAAGAAAAGCAGGATTGTTATCTTTGTACCATAACTGGATAAAAATGTAGCAGGAAGCAAGAGTTGGAATTTCTAGAAAGAAAGCAAGAGGTCAGAAATTCCTGAATTTACATTCCTGGCTCATTGACTGATTCGTCATGCTCTCCCTAAAGCAAATTCCAAGACTCAGCTGATTGATTTTCTTCACCTGTAAAATGGTAGAGTGTATGCCAGTTGCAGAGTTAACACTGGTAGAGAATTCTTGTTTATCAAGTATATTGGGATTATTAATGAAAGAAGAAAAATAAGTTCAAAGCAGACCAATTTAACACCAATTTGACATCAAATTGCAGACTTACCTATGCCCAGAAATAGCTGTTTCAACCCAGATACGTATTGTTCTAGTGTAAAATAGGGCATGAACCGGCATGACTTAACTCAGACCTGAAATAGGATTAAAATAGATTGTAGCAATATTTTTGTGATAATATCTATTCTAGGTTTAGTCAATCTAGTGTTGAAATACTCATATTTCTGGGATGACTCACTGACTCCTTTCTTCTTTCATTACTTAAAGCAGGTTCCCAAACACCCTTTCAGTTACACTTCTGTTTCCTGCCTTAACTTACTTCATCAGCTCCCACTCCTCCTGGTTACCAACTCTTTACCCAGCTTGCCCTTCCCATCTCAACCTCCCTCATTTTCTTGCTCCAATTTCTTGACTTTTTTTTTTTTTCTGTTTAAATCAGATGGTTTCTTCTTCTGCTGATTAAATGTCAGCAAGGGATGAGAGAGGATCACTGAAAGATTAGTGACTGCTCTCAGTTTCCTTACCAAACACAACATAAGCAATTATAGGGAAGGTTCTTCAACAGTGTAGTTTGGGTTCATGCCTGCTATTTCTCTCCAAATCTCGCGCAGTCTAGTCGTGCATGAGAGATTTATCTGAGCATGGAATACGCTAAAGTCTCACATCTCTATCAAACACATGAAATGCCATTCTACAAAGTCTTATGATTTTGACAAATTTCAGATTTTCATAGGTATGCAAAGCCATATCTTTGATACTAAGGCTTCTTTTTAAGAAATCTCAGCTCCTACTTAAACCAGCAAGATGAGAATGCATTACGTATTAGTTGTAGGGATTACCCCGTTTCCTTGCACTTGGCTCGGACTACACAAACAACAGTCACAATGAAAACTGGGGACAAACTGTAAGCTCAGTATAAGAGCAAGCAGCCGACTCATTTTTGTTGAAGAGCAAAGACTCTTTCTTCCCCACAACCTCCTCTGTACTTTTTCTTCATACGTTTTCACAGCCTTCAAAAAAAAATCAGACACCAGCTGACTAGTAGGATGGTACCATGTCGTGTCAGTAGTGTCCCAGATGTCTCTTCAACACATCCTTCAGTGTGACTTAGCCACAATGCCCTTGCCAGCTCCTCTCTGGGAGACGAATAACCA